CAAGCTGATGTACTCATTCGTCTGACCCTGGCCTTATTCATGGATTAAAGATACATGTGCGGTAAGGGGGTGACATCAATTGGGGAATCAGACTGAACGTTTGGTGCTGAGCTGAAAAATGTGTTGCTGCCTATGGGTACTGATTTGTATAATATTTCCTCAGGAAAATGTGGTATGTCTTTAGTGGTAACTGGTAGCAGTTCTTTGAAGAAGGCGCTCATTTTTGCATCTCTGGCCTTGACATAATTGAAGAAGGTCTGCATTTGACCTTCCAAGCACTCTAGTCGCTCCCTTGTCTCGAGTGTAGGTGACCACAATCGTTATTCTCGCTGCGGCTATAGATTTTGCACCTCGTTCTAATCATTCACCCAGAGCATTATCTTCAAAACTTATTAGCTCAGGCACTTTCTTTTTGGTAATGCCCTCCTTGGATTTGATGAACTCTTCGAAGGGCTTCTCTAGTACCTTTTTCTTCCTACAAAGATCCATAATTAGATTAGGAAAAAGTAAGCCTCTCGCCCGTTTGGCGCACTCATGGATTGTTCGAAGATAATTTTACCCACACCAATCGATCATCCATAGATGATGGAATGGAGCAACATTAGTCACCGTAACAATGCAGTGGTGTTGTAAGACGTGGGCATCAATTTACCCTTTAAAAAATGTTCAACAGCTTTGTGACCAGTTTGAGAGCGTGCTGATCTATTAACTTCTGGTTGAGGTCATTTCCTTCAAATTTTGCCCAACCAAAACATAGGTCTTCCAACATATCATCATAAGTTTCAGAGTCAGCTTCGACAAGGAATTTCTTATGGTGGTTATAAAATTTGTAGAGTTTAAAATAGTGGTTGATGGTGAAGGGAGTAAACTGGATGAACTTCCCTCGAACATAAACATAGTACTAAGAAGGGTTGCCCAGATGCACATAAAATTCCAGGACCAGTGCTGGCGCCACCACCTTTGGGTGCCAAGCAAATTTCTCCCAATTGTGTTTCCGGATGATGTCCATCACCATCATCCAAAGGTTCCTCATTGGCCTCAGGGAATACAAAGTTTTCTTACAAAAAGACTTGGTGTTTTTGCAATGCCTTAAATTTGTTCTCGGCCTCAGTACTTTGGAAGTGCTAGAAGCTTATAGCAGCGGCAGATGAGGTGGAAGCACTCGAGGTTGACCTGGATCGAGCCATGACAAGTTTAATGGAGAGAACAAGGATTTTGAACGTCAATAATGGAGGTTTTCAAAGAAATATGAAAAATCAAAGGAAAAAGAAAAGATGAAGAAGAAAGTGAGTGAAAGAGAAACGGTGAAATAGAATAGTAATGTAGGCGGTTTTGGAGAAAATGATGTGTAGTTGGTGGTTTTTTGGGGGTAAATAAGTAAAAAGTGAAAAAGGAATATAGGGTAATTAATGAAAAAGATATGTGATGGGATAAAAAAAATAATTAAAGGAAAAGATTTTTCCTTCAAAAGTGCCCCCAAATAATTTATTATGATTTTCGTCCCTCCATGTATGGGTTGTAGCCCTATGCTAACACGTGCACAAAGGACCAAAAGAGATAATATTAGAAAAAAAAAAAAAAAATAAAATACTCGTGCATAATAAGATAAATAAAATTATTTATGTACAAAATGCAAAATATGTTGCCTAGGCAACAAAATTTGTAAATTTGTTCAGGGAAGAGGAGCAAACTCTTGGGCGTAGTGAAATAGCGACACCGATTTATCTCATGGATTGGTGCTCCATTGTACACCTTCAATCTTTGACCATTCACCTTAAAAGTAGTCGTATCATCCAATTTTGTGATTTCAATTGCGCCATAGCTATGCACTTGATGCACTATAAAAGGCCCTGACCATCTGGACTTTAACTTTCCTGGAAACAACTTGAGCCTTGAATTATATAGCAGTACTTGTTAGCCTGAAAAACATTACCGAGCCAAAATTTTTCTGTCGTTCCACTTCTTCGTCTTTTGTTTGTAAAGACGAGCATTATCATACGCCTAAGCTTAAACTCATCAATCTCGTTTAGCTCCAACAATCGCCTTTCTCCAGCAAGCTGCACATCCATATTAAGTTTCTTGATGGCCCAGTATGCCTTGTATTCTAGTTCCACAGGCAAGTGTCATGCCTTACCATTGGCTAACTTGAATAGAGACAACCCAAGTGGCGTTTTAAATATTGTGTGATATGACCACAATGCCTCATCAAGCTTTGGCGATAAATCTTTCCGTTTTGGGTTGACCACCTTCTCAAGGATTTGCTTGATTTCTCTATGAAAACCTCAACTTGCCCATTTGTCAAGGGATTGTATGTCGTGGCAAATTTATGACGCACCCCGTAACTTTGCAGTGCCTTTGTAATTAATTTATTGTCAAAGTGAGTGACTTCATCACTGATAATTGCTCGTGGTTCTCCAAAACGAGTGAATATATTTTTGTGCATGAACTTTAACATGGTCTTGAAGTCATTCGAGGTGTTTCCACGACCTTGACCCATTTGGATACACAATCCATAGCCAAGAGTATGTATTGATCACCAAAGGATGATGAGAAAGGTCCAATAAAATCGATTCCCCATACATTGAAGAATTTAACCTCCAAAATATTTTTCCAAGGCATCTCATTCCTCTTCTATATATTCCCAGTGCGTTGGCAATGGTCACATGACTTATAGAAGTCATTTGCATCCTTGAATAAGGTGGGCCAGTAGAAACCATATTGGAGGACTTTTGGAGTAGTCCCATCCCACCAGAGTGTCCTCCACAAGGGGAGGTATGGCAATGAAAGAGAATCTCTTTGTGTTTTTCCTCAGGGACATACTTCCAGATTATTTTATCACCACATTGTTTGAATAAGAATGGTTCATCCAAAAAATAGTGGCGTACATCATATCTGAACTTTTTTTTGGCCTGCCTAGAAAAATCTATAGGCATAATACCACTAACAAGAAAGTTAACTATGTCAGTGTACCACGGCAATGCCAATGTGAATAAAATTTTCTCGTCAGGAAAATCCTCCTGAATGTCCTTCATGTCAGGGCAAATATTTTTTTCTCTAACCTAGACAAGTGACCTGCTACTTGGTTTTCAGTACCCTTCCTATTGTTCACCTCTAAATCAAATTATTGCAACAAGAGTATCCATCTAATAAGCCTAGGCTTTGCATCCTTTTGATTTACTAGGTACTTAATGACATAGTGAACAGTATGTACAATAACCTTAGTTCCTATAATGTATTCTCTAAACTTATCAAAAGCGAATACTACGACAAGCAATTCTTTTTCAGTAGTGGTATAATTATGTTGTGCATCATTAAGGGTACGACTAGCATAATAGATGACATGAAAGATTTTACCTTTTCATTGATCTAGCACTGCCCCTACAGCGTAGTCACTTGCATCGCACATTAACTCGAATGGGGCATCCCAATCAAGTGGAACAATCATTGGTGTCGAAGCAAGTTTTTTCTTTAAATCAGTGAAGGCGTTGAGTCAGTCGTCATTGAACACGAATGGTAGATTTTGTTGAAGCAATAGACACAAAGGCTTTGAAATCTTCAAAAAATCCTTGATGAAACACCTGTAGAATCCTGCATGCACTAGGAAACTTCAAATGCCCTTCACATTGGTGGTGGAGGCAGATTCTCAATTACTTCCACCTTGGCGTTATCAACCATAAAGTGAATTTCTCCCAATTTAGATAAGGTTGTACTTCTCACATCGCTTCAGCACTTTTATAAGTTGCCTAGGCATCGGTCAAAGTTGACGCCCGAGACGAAAAAATCATCCAGAAATATTTCCAAGAATTCCTCTACCATGTTTAAAAAAATTACTACCATGCACCTCTGAAAAGTTGTCGAGGCATTACATAGTCCAAAACGGCATCCTCCGAAAGGCATAGGTTCCATATGGGTAGGTGAAGGTGGTCTTCTCCTGATCTTTAGGTGCTATGGAGATCTGATTATACCCAGAATATCCGTCAAGAAAATAGTAAAATGCATTCCCAGGTAACCGATCAAGCATCTGATCAATGAAATGAATGGGAAGTGGTATTTCTTTGTCGCCTTGTTGAGCTTTCTATAATCAATACAAATCCTCTAGCTTGTGATGAGCTTGTGATGTTCGTGTAGTTAGAAGCTCATCACTCTCGTTCTTTACCACGTCACGTCACCCTTCTTCGGTACATTAAATCGGACTGACGCAAGAGCTATCGGATATGGGATAGATCACCCCAACATCGAGCCATTTGATGATTTTCTTCAAAACCACTTTTTTTTATTATAGGATTAAGTCTCATTTGGGGTTCCATAGAATTGCTATGACACTTGTATAGTTGGATCTTATGCATGCATATGGTAGGGTTGATTTCCTTCAAGTCTGCCATATTCCACCCGAGAGCTTTTTTTGTGCTATAACAAAACATTCAACAAACTACCTTCTTGCTCAAGGATTAGACTAGAAAAATATTAACTCATAAAGTATCATCACTACCTAGATGAGTATATTTTAAATGTGATGGAAAAGGTTTAAGTGCTAAGGTAGGTGCATGCTACAACGAGGGTTTTAGAGGAATAAATTAATTAAAGTCAAGGGGTTCGAATATCATACATGGTCTAGCTTGAATTAAGCTAGACTATTCCTCCAATGAATAATCCTCGGACTCCGCATTTTTCTATCTTTAGCAAATCTTTCATTTTCGTGTTTCAAAAAATTGTAATCTAGACAATTATTTTTGTATGCCTCTTTTGAAAATTTTTGCACGGGCCAAATTATTGTGTCCTTCTAACTGTAAAATATCGCCGTGATGAAAAGTTTCAAACTCCTCTATTTGAGAAATATTATCTTGGCATAGCGTATTAAACTCATCTAGGTGTATACTTTTCCATGGCCAAAATTTTATGTTATATATTCTTCAGTTTACTCCATGTCTCAAATGCAATGGCATTCTTCATAATCATCAACATATTTAAGATTGTTGAAAACATTGATAGCGATGCTTTGATCAACCACCCGCATTGTGAAATCTCCCTTCTCCTAGTCTATTAGGATGCGCCCAGTATCTAAGAAGGGCTGCCTAAGAATAATAGGTGCATTTTCATCAACCTCACAGTCCAGAATGAGAAAATCTGTCGGAAAGAAAAACTTGTCCACTTTAAGAATTACATCCTCAATTCTGCCCTCGGGACGAACATGTGATCTATCAGCCAATTGCAAAATCACGGTGGTTGGTTGAGCATTACCCATTCCAAGCTTCAAAAATATGGACTTAGGCATCATGTTTATGCTTGACACCAAGTCACTAAGGGCTCTCCCAACATAGTTATCACCGATGGAACATGGTATAACAAAGCTTTCAGGATCTTTTTGTTTCGGTAGAAGTTTACTCATCGATGAACAATATTTTGTCACCGTAGCAACAATTTTTATTCTTTCCAACTTTCTCTTTTTCGTGACAATGTCCTTCAAGAATTTGGCGTAAGAAGGCATCTGATCAATGTCTTCTAGGAGTGGAACATTAATATACAATTGGTCGAGGACATTAACAAACTTTCTGAACTAAATCTCGTCATTATGCTTCTTCAATTGGAGAGGGAAAAGGAGGTGGAGATATAACTGTTGAAAACATTTTCATGTTTCGATATAACAAATTAAGTACAAATGATTTTTAAGATTTTATAAATGATTATTCGAATTAATTTGAATATAAAAAATATTACTCTAAGTCTTTTAAAGATCAATTTCAATTCCTTACTAAAGTGTAAAATTGTGTTTTATACTTAAAGTATTTTTGAAACAATTTTCACAAAGTATTTCGAACCAAAATCGAACCAAAAATCAAATTTACAAAGTGATGTACCGATGCACTACATTGATGCATCGATTCACACCTATTTCGAATGCATTTTGTGTACCGATGCACAAGCCATGCATCGATGCACTCTTGAATATTTTGAACATCGAATGCATTTTGTGTACCAATGCACAGACCATGCATCGATGCACTCTAGGCTCATTTGAAACATCGAATATAACTAGTGCATCGATGCACCCGTAGTGTATCGATGCACTAAGTCTTCCAACGATCAAAATATTTGAATTTTACAAATAGTGTATCGATGCACCATTCACTCCCAACTGTTTTATTAATTGTTTTCACACCATAACTGCTCTATTGACTCCAGTAATGATCCCCAACATTTAGAAGTGATCCATGGAGTATTTAAACAAGCTTATGAGCCATTGATCAACAACAATTAAGGAGAGAAGTTAGAGAATTAAGCAGAAAGCATCAACCCTCAAGTTTGAGCATTTCAAGCCTATTTTTTCATTCAATATTCATTTTGCTTTCAAGAACACCATTTGTGCTCAATTGAATTTATTTTTTGAGTTCTCTTTCTTTGTTATAGAATCGTACAAACATCTTACCTTGTGAGGCTTTCTTGTAATTTTGCAAATTTGTGTATTTCTCTTTGGGAGAAAGTGTTCTAAAGAATTTCATGTATAATTCTTGAGGGAGTTGTAAGGTTACTCTTTGTCTTCGAAAGAAAGAGAAAATTAGTGAATTTGTTGGAAAATCCTTAGTGTGGATAACTAAGGTAGTGGACGTAAACTTTAGTTAAGAAAGTTGAACCACTCTAAAATCGTTGTGCAATTATTTTCAATTTTCTTCAAAAGCTTCCACCAAATTTTTTTTCCAATTCACCCCCTCTTGGCCGATTCGTCGATCGATTATCTCAACAATTGGTATCATAGCCTCACTCATTTGAAGGTTTAATCACCTCTTGAGTCGATTCGGGAAGAGTTATATCGATATTCAAGTCATCAATGGCCTCCACTTCAAAATCTGACATCGATCTTGATTCTATGCCTATCAACAAGCCTCATTTCTTCAATTGAGCTAATTATGCTTATTGGAATAATAGAATGAGGTACTTTATTCAAGCAAGTGACATGGGAGCATGAAATATCATAGAAGATGAATACTTCATTCATTCCACTCATTCAAGATTGTGGAGTGAAGCAGAGACAAGAATGTTCCAGCTCAGTTCAAAGGCTATCCACATTATTTTTGTGCTCTTGGACCAGATGAATACGGAGAGTTTCTTGTACAACCACCAAGGAGATATGGGATAAACTTCAAGTCACTCATGAAGGCACAGATGAGGTAAAAAAATCTAAAATTAGTCTTCTAACTCATAGCTATGAAAATTTCAGGATGAAACCGGATGAAGACATCAAAGCTATGACGGATAGATTTTCCACGATTAGCAATGGTCTCAAATCATAAGGAGAGTTCATTCTAAACGAAAAGCCTGTGAGGAAGTTAGTTTACTCTTTTCCAAAATATTGGCAATCAAATAAGATGTCAATCATCGAGGCTAAGAACCTAAAGTCTATAACTCTTGAAGAGTCAATTGGTTGACTCCTCACTCATGAAATGATGCTTCAAGATGTGATATTTCAAAATTGAAAATTGAAAATAGTCTTATGACCAAAACCAACAATGATCTTGAAAGTAAGATCAAAGAATTTCAAATCAAATTAGATACATTTAAAAAGAAAAATATCGATTTCCATAACTTACTTTCAAGAGTAAATGAAGATCATCAAAAGAAAATTGATGATCTTAAAGCTTCTTTTAATAAAGTTGATCTATAACATTTTGAAAAAGGAGAAAGTTCAAAAATCAACTTTGTTAAAAAAAGTTTTAAAAACTACAATCATAGAGGTCTCCAAAGAACCTCTAATGGAAAAATCATTAGAAGTATATGGGTTCCTAAAGAACTCATTACTATTAAAGATAAGGATATCCTATATAAATGTATACCTAAGGGGACTAGAATTTTGGAGACTAATGAATATGGACCCAAAAAAAATTGGGTACCAAAAATCAAAAAATTAATCTATGTTTGTAGGAAAAGGAGCATTGCTACAAGGGACGTGAAACAAATTCAAACTCATGGTACCTTGATAGTGGATTCTCAAGACACATGGCCGGAGACAAAAGCTGGTTCATAGAGCTTAACGCCAAAAATGGAGGAGAAGTGACTTTTGGTGATAATTCAAAAGGTAACATTGAAGGTATAAGTACAATAGGTAATACCTCTTCCATACAAATAGAAAATGTTTTATATGTGAATGGGTTAAAGCATAATCTATTGAGTATTAGTCAATTTTGTGATAAAGGATACAATGTCTTATTTGATTCTAATGGTTGTAAAGTAATTGACATTGCATCTAATTTGATTATACTTGTTGGTCATAGAATAGGAAACATATATATGATGCATTTAGATACAATAAATATGACTAACCTATGCCTAGTTGCTAAGGATGAACATGATAGTTGGTTATGGTATAGGAGACTAGGACATGCTAGCATGAGTGTTTTACAACGACTAATTCAAGGAGATTTAGTTCGAGTGTTGCCAAAGCTAAAATTTGATAATGATAAAATCTGTGATGCTTGTGCTAAAGAAAAACATATAAAAGTTTCCTTTAAGTCCATTAATGATGTATCAACTATTAGAGTATTACAATTGATCGATATATATCTTTTTGGGCCATCTAGGACTACTAGCTTGGGTGGAAAACAATATGCATTTGTCTTGGTAGATGACTATTCTAGATATACTTGGGTTCTATTCTTAAGTACTAAAGATGAAGCATTACAAAAATTATCACATTTTCAAAAGTAATCCAAAATGAAAAAGGTTACTTTATAACTAGTGTTAAGAGTGATCATGTTACTAAATTTGAAAATCTTGGATTTACTGAGTTTTGTAATTCTAATGGTATTAGCCATACTTTTTCAGCACCTAGAACCCCTTAACAAAATGGAGTTGTTGAGAAGAAAAATTGAACTTTAGAAGAAATGGCTAAAACTATGCTTTGTGAAAACAATTTGCCAAAATATTTTTGGGCAGAAGCCACAAATACCGCTTGTTATATTATTAATCGAGTAATGATTAGGCATATTTTAAGAAAAACTCCATATGAACTTTTCAAAAATAAAAAGCCTAACATTAGTTATTTTCATCCTTTTGGATGTAAATGTTTTGTTTTAAACAACGAAAAAGAAAATCTTGGTAAATTTGATGCTAAAAGTGATGAAGAAATTTTTCTGGGTTATTCCTTAAATTCTAAGGCTTATCAGGTATTTAATAAAAGAACTTTAGTTGTAGAAGAGTCTATACATGTTGTTTTCGATGATAATCCCCTTCCGAGGAATGATTCTTGTGTGAATGATGATGTAGGTATTATAAACACAAATGACGTTGGAGAACCACCATCAAAGGAAGAAACAAAAGATGAGGAAACTCATGATGTTCTCAAGAATCCAACCATTGAAGAAAGGGAAGTCTCTTACCTAAGAGAGTAACACTATGTCAAGGACGTTAAATAATAGGTGATCCATCAAAATGGGTAACAACTCAATCTTCTTTTAGAAATGTTTGTAATTATGTTGCATTTATCTCATGCATAGAGCCTAAGAATATTAAAGAAGCATTAAATGATAAAAATTGGATTATGGTTATGCAAGAAGAGTTAAATCTATTTGAGAGAAGTAAAGTATGAACATTAGTTGAAAGGCCTAGTAATAAATCTATTGTAGGTACTAGATGGGTATTTAGGAATAAGCTTGATGAAAGTGGTAATATAGTGAGGAACAAGGCTATACTTGTTACTCAAGGCTATACTCAAGAAGAGGTCATAGACTATGATGAAACATACGCTCCAGTAGCTAGGATGGAAGCAATTAGAATGTTATTAGCATTTGCATGTTTCAATGAATTTAAATTATATCAAATGGATGTTAAAAATGCATTTTTAAATGGTTTTATAAAAGAAGAAGTGTATATGGAACAACCTCTTGGTTTTGAAGATTCAAAATTTCCATATCATGTTTTTAAATTGACAAAAGCACTTTATGGTTTAAAATAAGCTCCTAGAGCTTGGTATGAAAGACTGTCAAATTTTTTAATTGAAAAAGGTTTTTCAAAAGGGAATGTTGACACTACATTGTTTTTAAAGCATAAAGGTAAAGATTTATTAGTAGTTCAAATTTATGTTGATGATATAATATTTGGTTCTACTAATGATATTCTTTGCCAAGAATTTTCTAAGCTAATGCAGAGTGAATTCGAGATGAGCATGATGGGGGAACTCTCATTTTTCTTGGGACTCCAAATGAAGCAAAGAAAATATGGCATCATCATCAATCAAGCAAAATACATAAAAGATATGCTCAAGAAGTTTGGATTGGAAAATGGGAAATCTCATGCCACTCCAATGAGCTCATCAACAAAGCTTGACAAAGATGAAGGAGGTAAATAAGTGGATGTTAAATTGTATAGGTTAATGATTGGCTCTTTGCTTTATCTAACCGCAAGTAGATCGGACATTATGTTTAGTGTTTTCTTATGTGCTAAATTTCAATCATTCCCTAAGAAATCACATTTACTAGATGTTAAAAGAATCTTTAG